AGTGGGCACATTYYGGAGTGGACCAAAAGGGGGGGAGTACTCTCTCATGGGGGGGGCTATACCTTGGAAGGATGGCCCAAGTAAGCGGGGGGGGAAGAGTTAACCCGGGGGGGCACTAAACAGACTGAGTTGATTGTGGAAGATGGGGGGGTCACTTGGGGAACGGGGGGGGTCATACACCCCCCCCCCCCCGCAAGGAAGGGGGGGGGTGCTCTCTGAGGCGGGGGGGGGCGAATCTCGTATGAAGACGCTGGCCCGAAGCTATGTTTGGTGGCCCGGACTAGATCAAGATATTTTAAAGAAGGTGAAGAGTTGCATGGGGGGGCAAATAAACCAGAGGGGGGGAGCAAAAGCACCTCTACACCCTTGGGAGTGGGGGGGGGTTCCTTGGGCAAGGGGGGGGGTTGATTACGCTGGTCCTTACAAAGGAGTGAGGGGGGGTGGGGTCACTGACGGGGGGGCAAAGTGATTGGAAGTACACCATATGAAGTCCACAACCTCAAGTGCTACAATTGAGAAGCTCAGAGAAATATTTTCCATACATGGTCTAGGGGGGGCACTAGTCAGCGAGGGGGGGAGTAGTTTTACCAGCTTAGAATTTGAGGAATTTATGAAGAAAAATGGCATTAAACACATCAAGGTACTATCATATCATCCTACCTCAAATGGGTCGGCAGAGAGAGCCATACATGCCTTTTAGGAAGGCTTTGAGAAGATGAGAAAAGGGGGGGTTCAAACAAAGTTGGGGGGGTTTCTTCTCAGCCATCGAACGACCCCTCACAGGGGGGGGGGAGTTCCACCAGGGGGGGTACTGATAAGGAGGAAGTTACGTACCTAACTGGGGGGGCTCTACCCAAGCAGGGGGGGTCGTGTCCACAGCAAACAGTCCAAGCAAAAAGCAGCACACGATTATCATGCTAAAGAGAGAACCCTGGATGGAGGTCAAGCGGTGTATGGGGGGGGTTTCTGATACAAGGGGGGGGGGATGTCGGGTACAGTGGTAAACAAGACAGGGGGGGGGTCGACTCGAGTTCGGGGGGGTGGTGGGTCAGTCGTCCAACGACATCAAGACGGGGGGGGAGCATGCGAAAAGGGGGGGGTTGCAGTTACAGTTGCCAGTGAGGTACTGGAGGCCACACCCATGGCAATTTCTGTCCCTGTTGCTACTCCTGAACCTGGTGCCTCTTCGGGGGGGACAAGAAGCAGTCGGGGGGGCCCCAAGGCTCTGTCAAAATCCCCTGCCCAGCCACCTGAAGATCACAGCTCTAAACAGTCTCCTCCCGTGCGGAGACGGGCTTGACCTGGGGGGGGGCATGACTATCCGGGGGGGGTGTGACCTCAGACTTAAACTAAGAATCCGTTGGGGGGGTTTTCCGTGTGCGGGGGGGGGGTCAGGACTGTTCATTATTCATTAGACCTAAGTGCGAGTCTAGAGGGGAGGAATGTGATGACGTAGTTAGTTCTTATTTCACATGACTGGGGGGGTGACCCCTTTGTTGGGGGGGGGTGATAGAACAAACTCTTCCGCTGGTTATTGGGGGGGGACAACGCTTTCTGGGGGGGACGGGCACTCACCATAACAAAATTATGACATGGGGGGGTTCAATATAAATTGGGGGGGCACGATAATAGCTTTTTAAAGACATGTTTTGGGGGGGGTCTAGAACACTTTGGGGGGGGGCCGATAAATGAAATCGAACCAATTTGGGCGGGGGGGGCTAGCCAACGCCGGGGGGGGGGAAAAAGTCGTAGCAGCTTTTGCCCACCGGGGGGGGACCAACAGGTTGCGGGGGGGTTGGCCTGAAACAGCGAAAACTGTCAGTCGCGGGGGGGCCAACGGCCCGGTGGGGGGGTGGCCGACAATCGGGAACTGTTCTTCACTCAGGGGGGGGAAGAAAGGAATTGGGGGGGATCGCTCTTGAAAATGACTTTCATCCTAAAAGGGGGGGGAATTCTGTGTATGGGGGGGTACTAAAGCTCTTGAAAATGACTTTCATACGGGGGGGGARCGAATTTTGTGGGGGGGGAAGTACAAAAGTGGAATACTCCGTCATAAAAGGGGGGGATGTTAAGTGCAAGGGGGGGATATGTCTTCAATCTTCAAAAAACCGTGTTAGGGGGGGTAAAACTCAGAAAGGGGGGGTTTACGAAGCCTAATGGGCCAATTTTGGTCCGGGGGGGTCTAATTTAGGGCGGGGGGGATTGAGGCCACGTTCAAATTTGCCACGTTACGGGGGGGGAATAACTAATTAGGGGGGGGCATTCTACCTGATGAATACCCCTGTACCTCGGGGGGGGTCTTTCGAGTTTGGGGGGGAGTTCGTTGGTGCCTTGGTTGAAAAGTGAGAGGGGGGGAGA